GGGGGGGGGGGGGAATGCGAGGGTGGGAGGGGTGTCAGATACATTTTTAAACTTGCAGTATTTAAAAATAAAGATCATATTTGCTGTTCTTAAAGTGTCATTTAAATGCATGTATTGTGTGTTGTTTGAGGGACAGAAATAGGGTTTTTTTTAAAAAAAAAAACTAATATTGTACAGTTACTGCCCCTCAAAAATCTTGCTGGTTAAAAATACAATATTTTTGGCCATAACTTCGTACTACAGTATCTTCATTCCGTGAATTTGAGCTTTTCTGAAATATTATTTGGGCTTATCATTCTCCCAAAATGCTTCTTATGATAAATGTTGGATAGATGTATTATTCCATTATTACTTTTTCATTATATGTGCTCTGTCCTCATTGTCTAAATATTAAAATTTCCAGAATATCTTTTATTACAGCCAGAAGGCTCAAAACATTTAAGGTTTGTTACAGCAGAGACAGTATTTTGACAGTATTATTAAAGGGTTTTTTTGGCGTGTGTACAATGGAAACTTGGAAGCATGGGGGAAAAGAAATAATACTCTATATCTCACTAATAGAAAACTTTCAGAATTTGTAGACAGTGGGGTGAATTTCTTAAGCATTTTGGCTGATTGCAGTAGTACTGCAAGAGCAGACTGTTTCTTTGATCTTTTTGTTCACCTCTGTGATGACAGCAATAACGGGAAGTTGCCTACATACTGCTTTTCAGGAGTCTGGCTCATACCTGATCAACAATCAGTGGATCTCAAATCTTCATTACTGAAGAAATAGAATTTCAGGCCAGTTGCAAAAATTAGTTTGTTCTCTATTATGTGATTACAACAGTTTAGGTAAGATTCCTGGAGTCCAAACAGTTTGCCTAAGCAAGGATTTGAGTGAATGGTTCCAGATTTTTCTTTCCTGTTGCAGAATGTAAGGGAGAGGTATCAGTGGGGAAGGATTTATTTTATCTTTATGTCTCAGTGAAGATAACATCAACAAAAACACAGTGTAAGTGGTGATACTGAGATACGTGAAATAGAGGTAGAAACTGTATCTATCTGATAAATTGTGCATAGTTGTGATAAAACTTTACATCGCATACTATGATTGCCAACCCACCCAATTGCCAACCACTTTGTAGGATACTGTCCCAAACACCTAGGAGTTCCAGAGTATTTGTAGACCACCAAAATACACAGTTGCCAGCTGCCCAGGAACGCATCTGGTATCAGTATCTGCTATCAAGGCAGCTGACCCCCTCTCATAGCTCATTGCTTACCAAAAGGAACTACCCTCCA